GCATTAAGCTATGTTTTTATGCTGCTTTTAGCAATATTCCAGCAATATCACAGCGAGGGACACCAGAAATGGGCTTCACACATTATACCCATGTGGGGAATCAAACTCTGGCCTTCGGCGTGTTGAGTAAATGCTTTATCCACTAGGCTACCCACTGATCCAGTTGACCAGTGGCTAAGTTTACCTTTGGCTTTACTGTTAATATATCATATATACATAAAATTACACCAACTACTTTAGAAACTACAATAACTAGTGGCAGATTTGAAAAATAGGCAATTTTTAAGAATCGTCTGAAATTTGAGTTTGAGAAATTCGAACACAAAATCCATACAAACTCACCACCATAATCAAAAACACAGCACGACCTTGGTAACTAACGACCGTGTTATTAACTATGCATTCCCTGACAACTGATCTAGAGCCTGAACAAATATAACTGATAATGTGGCATGAAATGGGAGTCGTTGTGCACTGGTGTACTGTCACTCCTAACTGCGATACATCCATTAGTACAGATAAATCATTTGGAGAGAGGATGCATAGCATGGTATCAGAATGCATCAACACCATGACAATGTGCCAGTTCTAGTCAAATAGCATAAACGTTTGGAGCTGTTGCTGCTTGAAAATAGTCAGGACAGGATCCGTAGACCAATGGTGGATAGCATGAGCAACCATTCCCCTCAGGATCTGATGACACACAATATCCCAGGTCATATACAGTAAACATCCAATCAAAATTACTCAGCTATGAAAGTAATAACCAGAATTTATTCACTGTATGAAATAAGGTTGTCCGGGCTAGATGTCTGACGGACGGTCTAAATTTACAGCTTGCCAGCCCGATGGTCTGGTAAACTTTTTAGATGTTCCTTACATCTGAGTGAATCCACCATATCTTGGTGTCTGGTCTGGTTAAATCCATTTTGGGCTGGTAACATTTTGAAGTTACCAGCCTTGATGTCTGGCTGGTTTTTGGCTTATCATACACTGATTTATTCTGTGCAGTTTGTGAAATAAGTCTCAAAATATTTCTGGCCAGAAAGGTAGCAAGCTAGCCTTAAAAGTTACAAGCAATTTTCATATTTTATGAGCAAAGAAACCTTACCCTATGAATTTGGAACAAATTGTCTATTCCTGAACAGTTTTATCATATTCCCATTTTTACCGCTGTTATTTTCATCACTGATTTTTTAATTTATAGATCGGTCAGGTATTTCTACTCCAAACAAGGTGAGGTGAAATTGGGTTTAACGTTGTGCTTGAGAATATTTCGCTCATTTGACGATGTGCATGCGTTTGTATGTGTATGTGCGGCTGCTTGTACTAGCCCAGACTTAAGCTGGGTTTATACTGCTAGCCCACTGAGATACCATGCCGCAGTGAAGCATGAATACCCCACTCAGACACATTATTCTGACTCCGAGCCGACCAGTCCTTGTTGTACCCATTAATGCCGAACGCCAGACAGGGACCAACAAGTACCATATTTTAACGTCTTTTGGTATGACGCGGTCGGGGATCGAACCCGCGACCTTCCGCTCTCCTACTCCAAACAAGGGTGGATGGGGTGGCTTAATGGTTAAATTGGTTGCTCATCACGCCAAAGACCCGGGTTCGATTCCCCACATGGGCACAATGTGTAAAGCCCATTTCTGGTGTCCCCAGCCGTGATATTGCTGGAATATTGCTAAAAGTGCCATAAAACCATACTCACTCATTCCTCCAAACAAGGAATTCAAACTGCACTATTGAGGCACCTTTAAAATTTATGTAACCAGTATGGAAAGAGATATTTCAGAATCTCTTTTAGCTGACTCAAATAATGAGAACCATGGGCAAGCCGACGGATGATTTCTTTCCCAGAATACTCAATCTTCCCCTGGAAGCCCATAGGGTAGCTATCAAAAGGACCCTCCCCACAATTCGCTCCCTTTCCTTCTTACTTCTACATTTAATTGAAGTACTGGACAGCGACAGTATATAAGAAAAGACATCTGCATTAATTCTATTCTAAACAAGTAACAGCACACCAAAAACTATCACAAAAAGCATCAGTTACTATTTATTATGGGGGGACAGCTGATTTCCATCTTGTCTTCTTTCAACTCTCATTAAAATGTTAGGGGAGCTCTGCTGACCAACTTAGACTGACCAATCTTCTGTGATCAATTTCCCCTCCTTTACTCATATATCTCCAACTTCCTGTTCAGGGAGCCTACTATCAAAGAAGCGGAATCATTTGGTCGACATTCTCTAAACACGATGTGACTTTGATGCATTTGCGTGATGTACATCTTTCAGCCAAGTATCTCCCTCGGAGATAATTTGAAGTCAGTTTTACATCAATAAACTGGAATATACATTAATGGCTCACTTTGACTACCAGCGGAATTATTTTCTTTTGTGCTCAGCTTTGAAATTTTTCTTTGGAAGGCAGCACTTACAACATCCATACAACGTTAATGAACATAGTTTCCTTTAAAGCTGAGAAAAGAACATATCTTGTCATATGGAACCAGCAGCATTAATTTTACTTAACATTGTTCGTTTAGTTCATTAGAATGTAGGACACTGGGCCAAATACACAGCAAACAACTGGTTTAACAGTGAACAGTGAATACATGATGAACAAATAAGAATACAGAACACTATTATTGGAGTGAGTGAGTGAGTGAGTGAGAGGTTTTACGCTGCTTTCAGCAATATTCCAGCAATATCACAGCGGGGTACACCAGAAATGGGCTTTATACATTGTACCCATGTGGGGAATCAAACCCCAGTCTTCAGCATGACGAGCGACCGCTTTAACCACTAGGCTGCTCCACTGCCCCTATCTGCATGATAAATGAGGTGAGGTGAAATTTGGTTTAACGTCACGCTAGAGAATATTTCGCTCATATGACGACATGCATGCGTGTGTATGTGTAGGTGCGGCTGCTTGTACTAGCCCAGATTTAAGCTGGTTGTATAGTGCTAGCCCACTGAGATACTATGCCGCAGTGAAGCATGAATACCCCACTCAGACACATTATACTGACTCCGAGCCGACCAGTCCTTGTTGTACCCATTAATGCCGAGCGCCAGGCAGCGACCAACAAGTACCATATTTTAACATCTTTTGGTATGATGCGGCCGGGGATAGAACCCGCGACCTTCCGCTCTCCAGGCGGACGCTCTAACCACTACACCACGGAGGCGGTGCATGATAAATGAACATAACATTTGAATGATTTTAATTACCTTCACATTAGACAAAGACATCGACAAAATATATTTAAACCGTGTCGGACGAATAAAAATTTATATGGAATATATTTTTCTCGTAGCAGCTTGTGTTTAGAACAAATCAATACAAAATGACAATCATCCTTTGCAACATTAGCATAACAGTACACTACATTTTATTACAGTGATCAATATCCTGAAAGTGTTTGCAGTTTTTTGGCTGTTAATCTTATCATCAACATTACATATATTACTCCAAGAATTGATTACCTGTCTGTAAACCACCGTATGTTCCCAAATACCCCTGATATTTATCTACTATGCATTGTATTAATAATCTTCTTGTTTACTTTGCTGCTGAGATTCTTATAGTGCATGAAACATTTCCTTCAAGATAATAGTCAGTGAGTGAGTATGATTTTACACAGCTTTTAGCAATATTCCAGCAGTGGCAAGGGAACACCAGAATGGGCTTCACACATTGTACCCATGTGGGGAATCGAACCCGGGATCTTCAGTGTGACGATGGAACACTTTAACCACTAGGCTACCCTACCGCTCCCCTTCAGGATGGTAGGTCTATATGAAGAGAGGTGATACTTAGACATGTACAAAGTAAGCCTGAAAGGTTCTATTTTCTGCTGTGACACAAATCTCAACAGTAAGGAGAAAATGTGTTACATAAAACTTTAATCTGAACTGAGCTGAAATTGGGTTTAACGTCGTGCTTGAGAATATTTCGCTCATATGACAACATGCATGCGTGTGTATGTGTATGTGCGGCTGCTTGTACTAGCCCAGACTTAAGCTGGTTTTATAGTGCTAGCCCACTGAGATACCATGCCGCAGTGAAGCATGAATACCCAACTCAGACACAGTATACTGACTCCGAGCCGACCAGTCCTTGTTGTACCCATTAATGCCAAGCGCCAGGCAGCGACCAACAAGTACCATATATTAACGTCTTTTGGTATGACGCGGTCGGGGATCGAACGCCTAACCACTACACCACGGACGCAGTCTAAAACTTTAATACTAATCAGGGGACAGGAACATTTTCATGATCAAACGGAATCAGGTGGGTCCTATGTTTCTCAACGTTTTGTGTTGTATAATTCACACCATGATATGTTACCTGTATCTTGTCAGAATGGATCATATATTGTTACATGAACTGTTAAACCAACAACGGCATGTAGACTGGGAGTGGGCCATATCAACTGCAATAATCTATAGACAACCACCACTATCACATAAGGAAGATATCCATATACTCCATATATATACAGTGTAGTCACTTAAACTTCATAAACCCTAGACCACACAGAAACAAATCTTGGAACTGGAACATATGGTAAGTACTACATCAGGTGAGGTGAGGTGAGGTGAGGTGAGGTGAGGTGAGGTGAGGTGAGGTGAGGTGAGATGAAATAGGGATTAATTTCCTTAATGATTATTGCACTTCTGCAGCAATGTGCACTTGTCCAGACTTAAGCTTATTAGCGCTTGCCCACAGATATACCTTGTTACATTGTAACATGAATACCCACTCAGATACAGTATTCTGAAGTCTTGTTTTATCCTCTAACGCCAGACAGGGTAGCAACAAGTACTATGTGACTAAGGGATCAAACCACTGAGCTCCCGGACTCAACAAGACCACATGGGCAGCCTCTGAGCTTACTCCCAAACACTAAATTTTGTGCCTGGAAGTTTCACACCTTAAATGATTTGGCCATCAGGCCACAACTTTGCGCTGAAAGACTTACCTGCAATGAAAATGAAAGATCAAGTTCTGTGTCAAGAACTCCCCCTGGTGGCACAATGATCTCGTTTGAGCGGAGTATTCTCTTGGAACTCTGCAAAACAAACACATCAGAATATGATAACCAATATGTGTATATTTTTCGTCAGTGGGACAATGAAATGACACATAAAATATGTGTTGCTTTAACTATTCCCTCCAGCAACTAAATATTTACCCTTACCGAAGTCATTTTACGATTCAACTGTCTTCCTCTATATTATTCACGATATTAGTCACACTGTAACATTACAGTATAAAAAGAAAACAAAAGACCCAAAAAAATGATACCATTAGATCACAGTATAAAAAAATCGAAAGAAATGATTTTATAATACCATACAATCAGTAAGTCACATTACAGAGGGTGGTGTACTGTCTGTGTCTACTGACATCAGTATTGATCAATATCGATCAAGATCTTGGGTATATCTGCCAAGAGTAACTGTGTGTGGAGCAGATGCACCTGTGTCATTGAATCATTCATGTCTGGAGACACACAAACTGATGTGTTCAAAATACCCACTTGACAATCCAACATGGACTATTTCTCAGACAGACAATTTTTAAAAGTGACACTCCCTACATTCGGGCTATTCTTGTTTCCATAAATTCACTAAGCATGCTAGTTTTATTTCTAAGTGTAGTATTTATTCAGTGTAAGTCACTTCTGCATATGTTGATATCAAGTTTCTGTCCTCTTTCCTATCAGCCAAATAGTTCAAATTATCCTGTCAGACTGTACAAAGTTATGGTCTGGCTTGACTAGTTTATACAGCGCATTAGTCTGTCTCACAGTCCCTATGGTCGTGCTATTCTTGTTTTTATCAAATGAGTTTTATTTCAATGTATAGCTTTTACTCAGTGTCAGAGGTAAATTAAATGTAAAGTTTACACACATTATTCATTCACTTCCGTGTTTGTTGATATCAAGTTTCTGTCCTCTTGTCTATTGGCCTAAAGCTTGAAGTTATCCCCTTATACATAGTTAACGTTTTAGGCTTGAATTTTACAAAACAGAGCATGTGGTTTTGGAGAGTTACTGTTACTAAGTTGACAATCCACCAGCTTGTTGGTATTTCCTGACAACTAATATTAAATAGCAGTTTTCTGATGTTGTTACTTTAGTCTACTAGTCCAGAAAATTATGGACTGGTTGTATTTTGCCTGGTCTGGCAAGTTTGCAAAGTTGCCTGTCCGGTTGTCTCACTCCAGTTTAGGGAATTTATACACTGTAAGTGAGTGAGTGAATGAGTTTAGTTTTACAGCGCTTTATCAATATTCCAGCAACACCACAGCGGGGAACACCAGACATGGACTTCACACATTGTGCCCATGTGAGGAATCGAACCTGGGTCTTCGGCGTGAAAAGCGAAAGCTTTAACCACTTGGCTACCCCACCGCCCTGAACACGATGATCCAGGTTAGGTTAGACTGAGTCTCCCCAGAAAATCTAAGTCTTCTATGACATGAATCAGCTTTTGAAAATGTTACCAGCAACTGACCAATGGGCCACAGTTACTTCCAACACTGACCCTGCCAGTCGCCTGAAGTAAGTGGCAATCTGACATGTTGCAGGAAACAGTTAACATGGCTGCTGATTGAAACACAAACTGACCAGATGATAGTCTTTATGTTTAGGACAACACAGAAACAGCATCCATGTTTGCTCAACTAATGAGTACAAACCAATCAAACAAACTTCATCTGTTTTCTCATTCACCAACATCTATTGTTTCCCAAAAAGGTTCAATATTGAGAAATGCCAATTTCAGATTCATCACATACGTATACAAAACGTTGTGAAATAATTAGTCTAAAGTCAACTCCTGTAGGGAACTAGAGAGTTATACAAATATAATACATGTGGCACTTTGCACTTATTCTCACAAACATAGTTATCATACATTACAAGTTTCCATGGCAATCTAAAAGAACATATCGTTAGTTTGCAAAAATCCACCTTGCCATCAATTGTGGCAAGAAAAAAATAAAATACTATATTTACAGGTTCCTGTGCAAACCAAAATACAAAATATCTTTGTCCATGGTGGAACCCTTGTCATAACCCCCATGTCAAAACATTAAAACAGAGCTTCCCAGGCTTAAATATACAATTCATCATTTGCTAAGGACCACCATTATCATCTATAGTAAAGCATGGTCCCAAGCAAATAGTGAGTTGAATACTACAGGTGCAAACCACACTATCAGAACCCCAAATAATTTCAAACATGGGCTTGGATTGAATTCAGACAACCAACCCAATCATTATTCATCAAAAGGGGCCGAAGACCATTTGCCAGTTGACCTTTGTCTCCAACCGATCTGTGTTTACAGGAAAATCATAAAACATGGTCTCGTTAACTGATATTTGCTGATTAACTACTAACTACACAGTGCATCAACCAGTGGGCAATGCTTGCTGACAGTCACGTAATTAACATGCTGAGTTGGTTCATCTAATGTATAGGGTATCTTGAGGACATTAAGAATTTCACGCTTTTTGCAGGCATCTTTATTTGCTACCATTACTCGAACCTATCAATGTTTCAGGCAAATTTCCACTGCTGTCCAGCAGTAGAGTTGAGGAATTGTTTTTTTTTAAAAATCTGCGAGAAAAATATGAAGAATCTTGCAATATTCCAGCAATGTCACGGCAGGGGACACCAGAAATGGGCTTCACACATTGAACTCGGGCCTTTGGCGTGACGAGTGAGTGAGTGAGTGAGTATGGTTTTACGCCGCTTTTAGCAATATTCCAGCAATATCGCGGCGGGGGACACCAGAAACGGGCATCACACATTGTGCCCATGTGGGGATTCGAACCCGGGTTTTCGGCGTTACGAGCGAACGCTTAAACCACTAGGCTAGCCAACTGCCCCTAATCTTGCATAGATGAGTGAGGTTTTATGCCACTTCTCACAATATTCCAGCATTGTCACTGCAGGAGACAGCTTCACACATTGTACTCCAATCAGGAATGTAGACCTTTACTGAGTCAATACATGACCAAAGTCACAGTTCAAAATCTTTTTTTTTTTCATTTATCATCATAAAATCAGATTAAACCTGACTTCCATCACTTGGGAGATTCCGAACAGAACTTCTCAGACAAGAGGACCAATTGAAGTAACTGATGCTCCTAAGTCCGGACTAACTTTTTACTCATCTGGCTTGCACATCCAGTAAGCTGTTTCCATCAATAAACAATGTGGTTACAATGTTGTGTGATGCCAAAAATAGCTCCACAACAAAAGGTTGATGACAAAAAAGATACTTATTGTCTGCAAGTTCTACTGGGTCAGATTTGCCAATGCCTAACCTGGTCATGATAAAAGTCACAAGAGGTCTGAAAACCTTATGAGTTAACAATAAAAGGAGTTGTTCTGATCAGTTTTGTAAACTTAGCAATGTCGCATTCATAAACCTAATGACAAAGCAAATTCATTATTCAAGGTACATGTAGGAGGGAGTTAAGTGTGTGAATGTGATAGAATACAAAACTGCTTCCAAGGCGGCGACGTGTCTGGAACTACATCTTTAATTAATTTAAAGAAAACTTACCAAGTGATCTTAATTTTAAAATTTCACAAAATAGACTGACTGACTTTGGCTTTACGCCGCTTTAAGCAATATTCCAGCAACATCACGGCTGGGGACACCAGAAATGCCACAAAATACATCACATAGATAGTGAAAAATGTGTTTAGATTTGTTTATTGTCCCGTCTCTTGCTGGTGGAAGCTGGAGGTGAGGTGTATGGATGACCTGATGCAAGTTCAGATTTTACAAGGGTTCTAAATCTCCCATCTCATTGCAGTTCCTTTCCAAACTAAATGTACTTGCTTGCTTCAAATGTATACTGGACAAAATAAGTGAGGGATATTGGTATTTTTATGATTGATATTTTATCAGTGTGACAATGAATAAATAGATGATTATTCATAATTTCAAAATTTACATATATCCCTAACTATTTTTGTACTATATATAAATAAATATCTATCTATCTATCTATCTATCTATCTATCTATCTATCTATCTATCTATCTATCTATGTACAAAGACAACGATTTAGTCTTTCAAAGTATGTTCATTTACTGTTATTAGAAACTGGATTTGGGATCACATCGGATTGCAACCATATATCCAATTTTATACAATGTTTGCAGCAAAGAAAGACATAGATAGTCAGCCACAGAGCTACATTTTTAAGTTTAGTCAAAAGGAACATTTAATTTGCATATATTTTGTAAGTACTGATGTTTGAACCATACGCTGCATATTCATGAAAATGAAAAGTCAATACTGCTGTATTTGAATACAATAAATGTTATCTTCATACAACTGAACATGAATTTCCTTTTACCGTGTTGGTTTTCCATTTTATACGGAAAACAAAAGGACTGCAATCCCTGTTTACTGTTACATGTGTCTATCACAGAAAAATCAATAAACTGTGACCAACAAGGAATGCAAGGCTCATAAAAAAGTATTGCAGGATGTTTGAAAAGAAATCTGCTAGTAAATTAACCATAAATATTTTACAGGGTTAGAAATCTCTTTGAAAAGTCTACTAGCCATGAGGACTAGTGACTCTCACCAAACTACTAGTCCTCACACAATTTTGGTAGACCTCAAATTTCAATCTTTAATAAACCAAAACATTAATTTGACTTAGTCAAGCAGTATTGGCAGAGGTGTGGTATCATAACAAACAAACACACAATATGTTTTGGCATAGTTTAATTCAGTCATGACAGATGGATATGATCATATTATTCAAATAACACAACTACAACGTAAATAAGTTAATTTTTAATGAAAAGGCAAGCTTACACATTTATAATGTCCAGATAAACCACGAAGGAAGCAAACAATGCAGCCGTTTTTTTCCATTTGTAACATGTCATAATTATCCCCTTACGTTTTTCTTTTCTATTTTTCATGTTTACGCAATCGGAAAGCTATTATAAAGAGATTTCTCAAATAATATGTATGGTCGTCTATTTCCCGATACCATTGGCTTTCCGCTCAGTAATGTGATACAACAGTGGGAAATACCTCCGTTTTCGAAGCTTTGTATAAACATCACTTGAGGCGATTCGTTTGATGGCAGGTATCGTTCAAAAGCTCTGAACATCAACAATATCACTGTACCCTTGCCAAGAGTATTTTCACAGTTGTAAGAAGCGATTTTATTGGATAAAGATTGGTTTCTAATGACGCTTTTCTGTCACAGTCTGCTACGAGGATCGTGATCACACACGTGACCTAAGGCAGCCAATCATATTACAGCAATGGATACCATCCTCGTAAACGATAACTTTTAGATTCAGACGGAAGTTTTGGGTAAATTCATGCTATTCTGAACGTGTTACGCACAAGATCACTACCTATACGTATATTCTGGACCTTAGTGGACGTATCGTGCTAGGTTATGACCTGTGACAAAAATGCTTCATGCATATATTTAGCATTAAACATCGTGTCCGAGCACGAAGTTCGAGGCGACGACAGCCGATTTACATTACACGATCGCACAATAAAGATGGCAATAGTAAGTTATAATGTAGGTTTGACAACTTTTATGAGTACTGTTATTGAATATATTCTTCAGTTTATTCAATTTGTTTAATTATCATCTCAAAACATCGTTACTTTGCTCCAACTTTGATGTGGACCCGTTGCCGAAGCATGTGTCCGAGAATTGTTTTTTTCCAATAACATTGCGAAAAATAGCTTATAATTTTAATTTTGTCGATAATATATGGTCATTTGAAATGTAAGTGTTTTCAGACATTGTGAAAAGTGATAGATTTAATTAATGAATCATATGTTAGTTTGGTTCCCAAAGTTATATATCATTTTGATGCAACTACTGCCTGGTAGCCCGGCGGACTAGTACTGTTAGATGTTTTGGTAGTCCTCCGGGAGATTTACTAGCCTCGGGCTAGCGGACTAGCATAGATTTCAAACCCTGTTTTATGGAAATTGAATAACATTTGTCCCAAGCCTTATTATCTCTATATGAAAGGCAACATTTACTCACTCACTCTTCCTTCTAATAGTGAAAGAAACAAAGGTTTTGGTCTTTTAGACAACTACCACTTTGGTAAAACCCAAAAGCATAGGTATGAAATGGGCAAGATCATAGGATTCTGTCATGTCCAAGGGACACAACTCTGTATAGAGATTTGAGGTTCCTCAGATAACACCAGAGACACCTGTTCCCCCAAAGAGTATATGGAGTTTTTGATACTGGTGACACTATAGAATGTTAATATGTCATAAACATCTAGGCTTTAGGACGATGAAATGTTAATAGGAAGATAACCTACAAATACAGTAATTGGATCCTTGGGATTTTGGTAACACGAACTGGGACAATAATATTTACAACAACATTTTATAAGTTTTTAATTTTTTTACAGGGCATTCATGTCCTTGCAAATTAATGAATCAACAGTGTTTAATGAAACCAATGAAGGTTTGTTGCTGTCAGATCCTGGCCATTACACGGGAGTGGATCACTCACCTGCATCTTAACTGCAATGATGATTGAGGTGAGGTCATTCTCCAGGGCTCTGTGGACCACCAGGCGGGTTAACGTCAAACTGCACATTCTGGAAACAAGAGAGATCGGGTTACCAAAGATATGGATCTTATATGTGATAAATATCTTTATGTGTTAGCATCGATTGAGCTCCTGCAACAGGTCACGAAATGATAGAGGTCATGATACACAGATATCACGATAGAGGGGGAATGATATTGTCATGATAACCTTAGATTTGAGTCTACATTATCCTGGGAAAATCAACCATGCTATGACAAGATCCCCTGGCTTCATCCATGATATTGAAAACCAGTGATTATGCTGGTATGGGAAGTCACAGACCTGCCTTTACAATGGCACTGAGTAAGGTTTCATGCAGCTTTTAGTAATATTCCAGCAATATCATGTTGGCGGTCACCAGATACTAGTGAGTGAGTTTAGTTTTACACCTCACTCAGTAATATTCCAGCTATATGGCGGCGGTCTGTAAATAATCGAGTCTGGACCAGACAATCCAGTGATAAACAGCATGAGCATCGATCTGCACAATTGGGAACCGATGACATGTGTCAACCAAGTCAGCAAGCCTGATCGATCCCATTAGTCGCCTCAGGGGTGGAAATAACCCATTGCCCAACGTCCGAGTCCAGTGTTTTTTTCTGTCGGGCAAGCAAATATGTATATCACACTGTACCGGTGTCCAGTTGACTTTCCAATGTTAATTATGTTGTTTATTTAAAAAAATCAACAAGAAAATGGCCGGTACAGTGGAAAAATTATCAGGGCAAGTGATTTTACATGTGCCACTGTTCCGGAGTACACTAGCAATTTTAAAGTTATTTCCATCCCTGCGCCTCTTATGACAAGCATGGGTTACTGAGGATCAATATTATAACCCAGACCTTCACGGGCCGTCTCCAGAAATGCACTTCACACACTGTACCCCAATGGAAAATCGAACTAGGTCTTCAGTGTGACAGGCTTATGCTTTAACCAATAGGCTACCCCACTGTCCTGAGTTTACAGTGTCATGAGTTTACAATGTACAGGTTTCCAATTAAGGAACATATTTGCCTTGTATTAAACTTAGGCTCACATGAAACCTGCTTGTACCACACAACACCAACTTGCACCCCCAGGTCCCATAGATCTCGACATGGATACGCCTCAAATATCAGAAGTACCATCCACTGATAATCCTTATATCAACACATGTACCAGTAGGTTACACATACTGTAGTTTGTGGTACAGACTTATCATGCTTATCTAAATTGTTTAGAATGGTTTGCATGATTTTGCCAACAGTTTACTCATATATATTTTTGCAGGTGCATGTATTTGGCTGTAATTCACACTGAATGGTTCAGTGGAAAAGTTAGACTAACAACTAGTCTCTGAAATCAACATATTTTACAGAAAAAAAGCTCATAGTAAAAAAAATGAAACATAATGAAAAGGAGCCCTGCTGTGGAAATCTAGACTTGCCACATTTTCTAGACTTGCATGGGCTTTCTTGGATATATTTGCTTCAGGGTCTGTATAACAGACTATAGAAAAGTGGAATCAGTTTCACAGCCTGGAACCACAATGCTACACCCACTCTAGCAATCATAGTGATGTTGAGTTTGAGTTATTACACGAAACTTAAACAAAACCTTAGCTTTAGTTGTTTCGTATTTGAAAAAATACGAAACTAATATAATCACTCTTACTGTTTTTGTGGCGGAAGTAATGGTGCATGACAGATGCCCACAGCAGAAATGTACTCAGGTGAAGAGAAAAGCCAAAATATTAAACAGGCGAGTTCACTGTGTGATGAAAAGGAGTTAACATTTATATTTTAAATGTATTTTGTATTGCATTATGAGTACAATAAGGTAGGTTTCTTTAAACAAACTAGCTGGAGATGATGAACATATTTTTGGGGATATCGTTTTAGGAACATGAAGAATAAGACCACAATTTCATAAAAATATCCCAACACATATTCACAATAACAAATTTCTCATTAAGAGAAACTACATTAATTGTATGAAAATTTGCTCCAACTGTGAACCACTTCAAAATGAAAGCCTGGCAATTTTATGATACAGAAAAAAACAATACACAGTTCAGATGTGGCACTACTGAATAGAGACTATGATTAATTCATGTTTTATCTGGTGATCTCTTTCCACATTTAAAAAAACCCAACCAAATGAATATTTAAAAACATAATGACAAAAGGTTACCTGACGTCTGACATGCTACAGGACAGTTAGCATGGAAAGCATTCCAAAATATAATTCGTCATGGTTGCTCCAGTTGTTTTGTATTCATAGATTCCATAGAAAATAACACATCATGCTTTGTTGGGAATAAAGAATAAAAATAAATCACAGTCATACTGTATTAATCATTTAACCACCAGCCCACATGTGACCACATATGACAGTAAGTCAAGTATACGGAAGCTCTCAGTTTAGGTATGACATAATATCAGCTGCAAAGCCTAAAGCAGCTCCACATCACTCCCAGGTCATCGAGTGTTTGAAAGAAGGAAGTCCTTATCTCAAATCAAAGCTCTTAAGTCAGATGTTTTTTCACTTTTTCAGTTTGTTGCAAAATATCTGATTAAAGCAAGATTAAAACATCTTCATTCCAAACTCATCACAAAATCTCTGTAATCAATACCAGCAATGTGCTTCATTATGGTACAGAAGTATTTGCCTGCAAAGCCCACATCCAAACATGATCCTGCTAAGTTTGGTTGATGATGAAACTATTAAGGGAAGCATTGATGGCCCTGTAGTATAACATCCTGCAAGTGCTGTGCAGAGTTGCTTCCCTTAGGAATGCCAGAATCCTGTAATTGTGGGTTGAAATTTTGGTTCATCCCAATTATGTTTCTAGGTTTGTCAGAAAATTGTTGGTATGGCCATATGGTTCGCCATATGGTAAACAACTAAGAGTTTTGGGCTTTCCTAAGCGACTCCAACACTAAGTAATTGTAGTAAGTTTATTTTGCCAAAAATTCAGACTTTATTTGAGAAATGTCCATATTAAAAACTATTTTGAGATGGTGAACATTATTTATGATATTCAAGTTTTTTTTATCAATATTTCATTGAATGTTTTTTTCAATATAACCAATCACATGTCAATCCCGTTTCCATGTTTACATTTTGATAAAACACGCCAGTCCAACATGCTTAAACACATGCTTCATGTTGTTCAAGTACTTCAAATCCACACCAATGAAATTTTAAGGGTCAGCACCTAAAAATAGGTAATCCAAACATCAACCTTTTTTCAATGTCTTTCAACATTCAGATAACGTTTTGACATTGTGACTGAATTATTGGGTCAGTGCATGCAGCTGCTATTTCTCTAACAACTTATTTTGACAAGACCTTCATCTTGAACTACAGGAAAGTAGCATACTAGAAATTAACGTATGTTGAACATGATAAATACACAACTGGAAATAAAACAATCTGGCGCCGAAAATCTTATTGTGCAAATCAATAACTGCATCAGGTACTAAAAACCCATGAAGTTTCAGCAAGTTCTTAGGAATTTCAATCAAATCTTCCTTAGAATTGCAATCTCATATTGTCAACGGAAAGAAACAATGTCTGTAAATTATATTTTCTGTGTAAAACGTAAAACATTCAAATGCTTTAAGAACTGTCATCAGCCTTATCACGCAGTCATCGGAAACACGACATGTACAAACTGTTTCCATGGCGATCAATCATGTTAAGTTTTGTCAGGTGGAATTCCACATATATCATCATAATATCAATGACAAGATTATCAAGAATGAATCGAAGAATTATTGTTCCCTATGGTAACTAACAAGTAAAATTAATTTCCTGACACATGAGGAAAAAGTGGAAAAGCCTGGTGACCTGCTGATTTTAAAAGCAAGCTCGTACACAGAAACATGATTATTTTTTCAGTGACCTCCGCTGCTGATAAACAGACGTCTGCCCTGAACCTGGTGCATCAGTGTGTTCAGCCCAGACAGCTCAGTCTTGAAACCAAGTCAGTTGTTTCCCAATTGCTGTCGTGATTGACAGTCTGTGAGGAAAATAGTTAGCAAAAAAGGTCATATCAATCCAGCCAGAAGCACGAGCTACTTGATCGACTTACAGGAGAAACTGCTGTCTGAAAACTCAGGTGTATTGCCAAAGTCATGACATAATGGCCCAGCCGGCGTACGTTAGTGAAGTTAAAATATTTCGTATTCTGCTGTTCAGGTAACAAATTCTCAGTGATTCAGCATGCATGGATCCCCTGAGGGAAATTGAATAGGTTTCCTGGGAATCTAATTTGTAATCTAATTTGTCAAGTACCGAAAAGTTTCCTGATACACTTTCAAAGAAGTTTTACTAATTACACTTGTGTGTGAGTGAGGGAGCATGCTTCTAGCAATATTCTAGCAACATCACGATGGGGGACACAAGAAATGGGCTTCACACATTGTACCCATGTGGGGAATTGAATCCGGATCTTCGGCGTGACGAAATTACACTTGTTAAATGATATACTGTCATCATTTAACGAAATGGGATTATATTTTTTCTCTCAAAAATGTCAATTTAACGTCATATATCCTATCACTTGTGACATTAAGAAAATGTTAGAATCTAAAACATACAATATGCAGAAAAAAACAACAGTTTGGTGACGATAACACAGAAAGAGGTATCATTCAGATTAATATCACACAGCATAGCACATCAATGCTTCAGTGTGTAACTGATGGTTACGATAGCAAAATTCAAAACATCCTTGTCATGACCACAATGTTAAAACCTAAAACTTTAAGATTAAGATTTGATGTAATTCCTTCATTGAAATACCACTCAAGAAGATCTCAGTGACCTGGAACGCATCTTAATTCTGAATACTGCGACAGTGAAGCATTCATCAGTGAGCAAATCATGTACTGAGAATGGCATTGTTGATTTTAAATCCATGTTATCCGGTTCATTTAAAATTAGCGATATAAAAAGGCTAGAGAACAGCAGGTACAAACCTGTTCTTATTTTGCTCTCACTCATGTAACTATCAGATTA